AACTAATACAATATTATTTTGACCACAGAACAAGAATGTTCAACTAGCACCATTAACGTTAAATAATACAGATATTGGGTTTGTACCGTCAATAAAAACTTTAAGCGTCTATTTCAATGAGCAATGGCAAGACATGACCACATAAACTACCTAATTAGCAAACTATCTAGTACAATAGGTGTGATGTGCCATGTCTCTTTTGAATGCCCTATAAGCATCAACATGTTCTTATGTAATGCTCTCTTCGTACGAATAGTTAATTATGGATTACTAGTATGGGGTACTAACACAAAAGAAAACAATGACAAGCTCGCAGTTTTACAAAAACGCATGATTCGATTAGCATGCCAGGTTTCATACCTCTCACACACCAGTGACCTCTCTATAAGACACGACTTTGTCCCCGGTAAAGTCAATCTTTAACTATAATCTATGTCGGCAGTATAAATCTAGCTTAATGAAAAAAACTAGTACTCTACAAACACTAGCAAGATTACAGGCTACCCTACTAAATTATAATATACGAAAACCTGACGAATGGCAAATCAAGAAAATGTCGCACCAACTATGGTCCACAAATGCTTCGATTCACGCTCCCAGCATTATTAAATAAAACAGTAAATAGCGGCCCTTTAACACTCGGGAAACCTCATTTAAAGAGCTACGGAGAATTTACACCACAATATCATTATCATGAATATGCCTGATAAATAACACCGTCTTTTTCTGTTTCGTATTTCGCTGTTTCTGAAGAGAGAAGTCCTTTTACTTATGTTTTCTTTATTATGTCTATAGAATCATGTTACTTTTCTTTTGCTTGAAGGATAGTCTTGCACAATATATTATTTGTAGATATTTTTCATGAAGGATATCATTATATTATGTATACATTTCGTTTTCCTGTTCTTTTTTTCTTTTCGTTTTTCGTTTGTTACCACCTTTTACGCTGTTGCACGTGTAGGGTGGCCAGGACACCTTCAAGTTGACTGTATCAGCTTTTTTCCCCGCGTCTCCCACAACATCGCGTTGTAAATAAATAAATAAATAAATAAATAAATAAATAAATAAATAAATAAATAAAAACCATCATATGATTATGAGAGACGCCGTAGTGGAGGGCTCTAGAAACTTCAACCACCTGGGGCTCTTTAACGTGTACCTAAATCTGAGCACACGGGCCTCTACGATCCGTAAAGTAATCCACACGTAGTCACGAAAACCAGTTATTACTGCAACGAGTGAAAAGAGGTTTTTAGCAAGCTACGGAAACACGTTAAGGAAATACGACACGGTTCCTTTTCATACACATATACAATGGTCGCACGTGCGCACTCGTCAGCCGGTTCCGTATCGCCGCCTTTCCGTAACATGTTTCCGTAGCTTGCTAAAAACCTCTAAAGGCGAAATGAGGTAAAGTTCTGCAGCTGCAGTGTCGATCCACGGCAGCAAGCGATTCGGGGCAGTGTAATGAAACCGGTTATGGAGCATTCACCTAAACGTACGTCACTCTGAGATTTTGGATTTGCCTAAGCAGAAGGTATATAAAAGGAGAATTAAACCTTAAATACACCATGAAAAATCTTAAAGCGAAATAACGAATACCGAATGCTATACAGCTATACAACACATTTAAATCATAAAAACACTCACTGACTATTCACATTTACGATTTATAATAGTTCTTTTTCCCAACAGCAAATTTTCATCCGAACTTGGAATACGATTCTGAGCAGATTCTTGGTGGTGAAGCAAAGCCGGGTTCGTTGCTTCGCGAGGATGATCACTACCTTCTTCAGGGCTATTCCCCGGGGGAAGACGCCTCCACTACTGGACGGTTTACAAACAGAACTTTATGTACAAAACTATTTACAATGCAGAGATGTCAGCAGAAGTATGACCCGCAGTGGTGCCTAAGGCGGACGTGCGGATGTCTAGCCGGCAAGCTCCCCAAGCAGCAAAGAGACCTCTTGTCCTTTCCCGGGCACTCCTTTTATCCCCCAGGCCTCGTTGCCCATGGCCCTCGTCGACACCGGACAGGCAGTCGGTTCCATGGAAGGAGCAGGGTAGGCAGAGGAAGCTGCAGGGCGCCGTTTCTCAGGAACTCGTCAGGCAATAGAGGAAGGTGTTGCCACGCTGGGCCAGTTCCGTTTATCGGGAAGACGTGTTACGAAGAAGGAAGGGGCCAGGGGACGTTACGCCGAGTGCGATCTTACACCGACCTACCATTGAGGGCTGCATGAAAAAAAAAAAGGGCTTTTTCTGGGCATGTTTATTAGCCGAAGAAATAGAAGCATGTGTTCTAAGAGATTTATTTTCATCTGAAATGAAAATGTGCCGTATAAACGCGGCTCAGTTTAAAAAGCAGTAGCTCAGGGCATGCTTGATCAAACGCTTTAATGAAATATAATAATAACGCACAATGAGTGATCCAGAAAGCGATAAAATTGATTGAGAAATGCAAGTTGAGTTTCACAGGAATAGGATTTATGAAATCCATGCTATGTGTTATTTATGTATGAATGAAATCCTAGAGTGTTAGCAAATTCAAGAATATTTGGTGTTCTATTAAGTTGTAGTAACAGTCGCAACGAATATGGGTTGGTAATTAAGGGGTGAATTATAGATTGCGGTTGCAGTCCCAATTTTCCCCTTCCTTTGAAAGGTCACGTAAATCAATTGTTGGAACATTTTAGTTATGGCATAATAGAACTAAAGCTCGTAGTGCTTCTAGAACATTTTCTTTTAAACAATTGTATCGAGGAGAAGAATGAAACGATAAGTTATCTGTCGATTTGGGCGATGCCACTTTCTTGAACAATCATAAAATGCATTGGCACGTATTATTATTGGTACTCAGAATATAGTTCTGCATTACAAGATTTTAAAAACTGGTCTACGTCGAGGACTCCGCTGGATTTCGCCACCAGGTGGGCGTGATCTAAAAGCGCGAATTGCACCTTAGGGTTCGAGATGGGGATGTGTGTATCCCCCCCCCCCCCCACTGCTTCTTTTTAGAATCCTTGCTTTTGTACAAAAAGGTGTCTATAAACCGGCTGCGTTCACACATCTCATGAGATATGAAAAAGCGTTTGTCTGCCGTCACACCATAGAAAGACTGTGCCTGCACAGCTTCGTTATATGTCTATTAGTCTTTGTTTGGATTTTTCTCGAATCGATGACACCATAGCAACTTTACACCGATGGTTCCACGAACCGCCAGTATTCGTCAGGGGCAGTAGTCGTCCCAGCAAGAGGTGTTACCATCAGCTTTAGGACTAACCACTCCATGGCATCTACAGCAGCGGAACTAGCTGCTTTGTGCGCTGCAGTTTGTGTGGTCAATCGGGAACCACCGCAACAATGGTCGATTTTCAGTGACTCAAGGGCTGCCCTACAATCTGTGCTCTCAGCACTGCGTCGCGGGCCATACGAACAGCTTGTTTTCGAAATTCGATGCCTTCTCCACACTTCACACGAGAAAGGGCATCATGTAATGCTTCAATGGCTGCCAAGTCACTGCGGCATCATATATGGAACAAACATGCCGATACTGCCGCGCGGGCAGCCCTTGAAGGAACACGAGAAGAAGCCGTATCACTTTCGCGGACCGATGCTGCCAGTAATCTTCGATGACTTGCGCGTGAAATCACGTTTTCACTATGGTACCCACCAAGCATCGATACGAATCGTCAACACCACCTGTCCTCTTTGATGGCTCTCCGCATGCCCACTGGACTCGACCGAAGAGAAGCCACCCTTCTTCATCGCTTATGGCTAGGAGTGGCACTTACAAAATCTTATTCCTTTGTCATAGGAATGGCCGACAACGCTCTCTGCGATGCCTGTCATTGCGAAGAGACGCTACACCACATCCTGTGTGACTGTCCGTTGTATGAAATCCAGAGACAGTCACTGGCGTCCGCTTTTGCGCGCATCCACAAGAGCCAAATGTCTCTGGACACTATTCTGGCAAGTGCCCGAAAGAAGATATTGCAATAGAAGGCGACGAAAGCCCTGTTGAAATTCCTACGCGACACGGACTTGAACAAGCGACTGTAACAGCAATGTCACACACCGCGAAAGACAAGACTGGACTATGAGTGTGCGCGCGTGTGCTGCTGAATGTGCTGTGTTTCTCTCTTCCCTCTCTGCTCTCTATTTTTCATCTCCCCCATCCCTCTCTCATGCACAGGGTAGCGAACCGGCTGCCTATATGCTGGTTAACCTCCCTGCCGTTCTCTCCTCCCTATTTTCCTTCCTACCTTACGACCATCATCGCAAATTCTACAGTAGAGGGGAAAGAACAGTCCGCCAATTTATTGTTGTAGCAGTTTTAACACGTAGCTCATTTCCACACTGACCCGTTTCCTCCAAGTTTGTGTATTGTCATCATCATCATCATTCCGCTTCGCATTTGACTGAAAATCTAACCCCATTGCTGCGGATTCTCCTAATCGACAGCCAACCCTTAACGAAAAGAGCGCAATCGACAGTAGAGGACTTGGCCTCCAAGCAGCCGCGCAAAGCACTCGCCGTGGGATCCTCGACAGAACCATCGGCTTACATTTGCCATCTATACACTCGGCCACAGCATTTCACCCTCTCTTTCTCTTTTTTCTCACAGGAAATAGAACCGAACGTACGTGGCACAGCCGCAGTTTTCTTACACAGAGGCGGAAAAGGCAGCGCGACTTGGCGCTGGAAGCCCTTGCCACCTCGCTCATTGCAGCAGCCCTCCCATCAAAACGATGAGCGTATCACTTATAGAGACATCCTGCTGCCCCGGTCTCTCGGCAGATTTTCTCACAATGCTGAGCTCCAGATCATTATTATTACTGTTGTTATTAAGGGGGCAAAAGCGGAACCGGACCCTACGGGAGAGAGACGGTGCAAACGTATAGCGGGTATAACATGGAGGCGGCCGCCGATGATCGATGTCTTCCGGAAAACCGCTTGGCAGACGCGCTAAAGTGCGGGCTTCAGATGGGAGAGCGAGGCGAATCGCCTCCGTTTCGGTGGCTGCGCGGCTAAGCGAGCGGTGACGAGAACAACGAAGTCAAACCACGTTCCCCGATGTAAGTATTCATTCGTTTCTCCGCGGCTCAGAGATTCCGTGCACACGTTCCGCGCCATGTCGCTCGGCGCGGTGCGACGCCGCTACTTTCACGTTCTCGAGGCCATTGTGTCAGCGTTCTTGTCCTCCTTCGTGCGGCAAGCTGCCTGCTTCATGCACAAACATGGTCGTCCTGCCGTTGCCATGGTTAAACGCCAAACAATTAATGAGAATGGATGGCAGAACCGATACACAGTCTTCAGTCCCACAGCCTCTTCAAATTATTTGTGCGTTTTCTTGCATATAAGTGTAGAGCGAATTTAGTCCCGCATGTATAGTATAGTTAGTTCCCAACATAGGACTACTATGACAACGTTATGACCTTATCAATAACTTCTTTTCTAATATTCTTACGTTCTGCGTTATATATAGTCACATGGATGTCTGCACCACTGAATTCTACAGGACCCATGCCTCGGAAAGATTCTTGTTCCTTGTCTTGTTTACCTTCTCTCGTGGCTCATACCCACTGTGGGTGATTGCCCAAGAATTGAGTGGTTTTATTAAATCTTGTGGAAGTTAAAGTAATGGAAGGTATATAATAAATACATTGCAAACTTTACCGAGTCAGTCTATCAGCTTTAGTTCATATTTTTTATTGTTCCTATTTGATTTCGGTGAAATTGATTTGATAAATGTATTTTCATATGCAGATGTTTACCACCTCTTAAGTTATTTGATGATGATGGATATGTCGGGTTTAACGTCCAAAAGCAACCATATCATTATGAGAGACGCCGTAGTGGAGGGCTCCGGAAATTTCGACCACCTGGGGGTCCTTAACGTGCACCCAAATCTGAGCCACGGGCCTAGAACATTCCCGCCTCCATCGGAAATGCAGCCGCTGCAGCTGGGATTCGATCCCACGACCTGCGGTTCAGCAGTCGAGTACTTTAGCCACTAGACCACCGCGGTGGGGCTGCCACCTCTTAAGTCTCTCCTATGCTTCCCATCTGTTATTCTGACTGCTTCCTATTATAATATTTTTGTGTATTGAATATTTTATTTTATTTAGGCTGTGCAATACTTTCAAAAATTAATACATCATAGTAGGGACAATTCTGCCACCCTATTTTAGGTGCATCTCCCTGAGAACGTACTCATTAGAAAAAAATGGATCATAATCGTCATCATTACCCATGAAATAGTGGGCTTTTTTATTCGGGGGCATGACGGAACGGTTGCAAAGCCGCAAAACAGCTAGCACTCCTCTGACTACGAGCATTGGATCAACGGTAACGAAGGGACAAGCGAACACATATAAGTGAAAAAAATCGGAAGTGGAGTGCTGCCATATCATATAAATTCAAGGTTAGAATAAGGGGATCCTGAGCGTGAGCACTCGGACTTCGCAAAAAACACCGAGGTATATCATGTTCTGCCGAAAGGAGACTGTGGTTCACCAGGACGTATTCATGGGACTTGTCAAGTGCAACATCCTGTGATTCAATGTGGATGACAAATACATTGGCCTATGAGTGGTCCCTCCGATATTGATGCTCCAATCAAATATTTATCATCAAGGATCGTCAGTGCGTAGCCAAACATTCAAGCATCACCCATGGCTCACAGATGCATGGTGAGAGATCCACAGAGCACGCTACGAGAGCGGCACGTTACGGTTATTGGGAACTGCGTCAATGGAGTCTGCTACCACAGGACGCAATGTATCAAAGTGTCTGAAAACTACAATAGAAGCATGCGTGCGATCAGCCTTCCTTAGTCAGCGGGTGAAGACATCTATTCTGTCTTCCTGTTGCTCTCAGCGTACTCCGAGTGACATCTTCTTCTAGTCTGCAATTTATCACTTGAAAACCTGTGCATCGACTAGCCCAATGTTCCCAAAGAATGGCTGTTGCCGAGGTTTGGTTTTTCAGAATATAGGAAGATTGGAGGAGAAGCATCCTTCTTACGTTTGTTTCGCTGCCTGTCACAAAAGCGCCGTATAAACCGATTTCGGCGCCTCTTTCCTGAAGGCTGGTACGTTCTCACATAATTCCGAAGGCATGTCCTTTATGCCATATTTTCTTCATACAACTTTTTTTTTACGTTTTTACAGTGGAGCCGTTGAGGTTTTCTTTATGCCGCTTCCCGTCGACGCAAAATTATCTACACTAATCACCACGCAGTCTATTCACCCTCTCCTTCCTCTTCTGCTTCGCTCACAGAATAAGTGTGCCGATTTGTCGGGTGTAGGATGCAATAACTCTTAAATGCAGCGTATGGTGCAATAACCCCGCGTTTATTCATGTTCCTCCGAGACTGGCGGTGCGTTTCCTTTCTGCTTGAGTAGCAATCGACGGAAGCCTTCGCACGCGGGGCGATGTAATCGAATGCGCCCGCCGTGTGACGTAGAAGGGTCGGCTCGTTACATTTCTGCTTCAGTCGTACTCGTCGTGCCCGCTCGAGTACATTCACCCACCGGTTGAACATGTGATGCGCTGGGGGATCTTATCAATTTAGAGTTTATGCAGTGCATGATGGCGGTGGTGACTACGACGGTGAGAACCCGTCGAGGGTGTTCACATAATCACCAAGTGTTGTCTGTCTTTGCTGCCCCATCTCCCCGCGTTATTTGCTATAATATCTTCCACTTGTAATCGCACCATTTAGGCCCCAAGAAAGCTTCTCTACCTCTAAAGCGCCACTTTAAGTACGCCTAATCGAATTGGTGTCTTATGATGGTTCCATACACAAGCTCCATGTTCGATGACTAGAAAAAGACAGCGGAGTTCACTGTCTAATATTTCTGTAGTATTTTTAGGCAGCAGCAACAGCAACAACAACAATGTGCATTAAACTATGGTTCCGCTTCCTTGCCTTCATGTCAATATACTGAGATGACAATGAATCAACGAAACACTCCTGTTATCGTGCAGTTACATCTCTTCATTAGAGAAGAAATGTTTTAATAGGATCATTTCAGCGAATTAGGTGTAACATTCGCATTGCGGATACGCTGCTCTTAGGGGCCCCATTATACGGACGTTCTCATGCATAAAGACGTAAGTGCCACGGTAGAAAAATACTAATTTTATTTATTTATTTATTTATTTATTTATTTATTTATTTATTTTTATTTATTTATTTATTCGAATTCCTGCCAATCTCCACCGAGACCATAGCAGATGGGCACACTGTACAGATGCTATGATTGCTTATCATAGTAACAAATCATCAATGCAGAAAATAAGAGTAACATCAACGTGGCACTTTGTACACCAGCAATATTTATTTACACTACATAATATATAAACAAATTATAAGTGCATAAAAATGGCAAGTTTAACAATAACGCTGCCTACCTGGCTACTTACATGACATACAAGTAGTACATACTGATTTCATTACTCTTGTAATTGGCAATTTAAACAAGCTGAGAAATTTTATTTTTCAATTTGTTACTCAAAGAAAGACAATTTCTCTGTGTTAGTTACGTGAGGGGCACACATGCTCCCTTCACGGATGGACACCGGAAAAGAAGAATACTTGAACACATCAGTGTTGCATTCGTACTACTAATCGGTACGTACGTCTGTGTCCTGTGGCTAGTGTTTGTGAACAAGACACGTAACTTGAAATGTCTATTTCAAGATTATTGTGCAGGAGTTCATGAATTAATTTTGAACGTGCCTATTTTGCTCGTGCTTCTAGCGTAAGAAGCCCAGAAAAAGTTAGAAGGTTAATAATATTGTGTAGGGTTTAACGTCCCAAAACAACCGTATGATTATGAGAAACGCCATAGTGGAGGGCTTCGCAAATTTCGGCCACCTGGGGTTGTCTAACGTGCACCCGAATCTGAGCACACGGTCCTAAAGCTTTTCGCCTCCATCGAAAGCAGCCGCCGCCATCCGGGATTCGATCCCGTGAACATCAGGTTAGCATTCGACTGCCATAACCATTAAACCACCGCGGCGGGGCAGACTTTTAGGATTACTGGGTGAGTGTTCAGGCTGATATTTGTTGTGGGTGAATCGAATAGCCTTCCTCTAGCACTGCTCCGATTTTCTGTATGTTTGTGCGGGTGTGAGGAAACCACACTCTATTTCCGTATTCCGGGATTGGCCTGACGAATATTTTGTATGCTGGAAGCATTGTTGACAAGGTTGACATTTGAAGTGATCTGCGAAAAAAAATTAATTTTTGCATGACAGATGAAGTAATGTGACTAATGTGCTCGTCCCACCTTAACTCGGGCGTAATTGTTAAGCCTAGGTATTTATGTTGATGTATATGCTATGGTCAGAGCAGTGCCATTTATATAGAGTAGCAAATGTTTGCAGCCCCCAGTTTCCTGATTATCGTCATACAAGCTTATTTTTTCACATTTATTGTCATGTGCCAGTCCGAGAACTATTCAGAAATAGCACAGAATGATTTGTTAAGCGAGTAGTTATCTAGGTAATTTTGAATTTCTCTATAAATGGTACAGGTATCCGCTAATAACTTTATTTAACAGCCTAAATTATAGTAGATATGTCCTACTTGCTACCCTGAGCAAGTAGGCACATGTGCTGGAGGACATGATGCAGCTGATAGTCCAAAACTGGTGTTGGTACAGTCGATGCCTGGTCATTCCATGCTTGCTGGTCTAGCGTGGTCGCAGCAGCCCCGGTAGTTCCGAGGCGCACATTGTCGGAGCCGACCAGCAGGCCGAAGCCGAACTGCGAAATATAGGCAAAGGGGCAATTTGACAACCGCATGTCGACGGCACCGCCTTGCCCAATTAAATCGGGACAACCTTTCATGTTGTTAAACCTATATGTTAGTATATGTTTTATCCAACCGAAATTGATCCTTAGTGACATGTTTCGTAAATGGTTTATTCCTCCTAACTCGCCCAGTTTTCAAGAAATTGCTGTCGTGCGCACAAACCAGTCAAGGGGGAAAACAGCAAGAAGCTAGCACCCATTCCGTTCATGCCTTAACGGGACTATGCAACATGTCGTAAGTGATAAACTTTTTCGTGGCTGCGCTAATCACGTGACGAAAAAAAAAAATGAAGAACGACCCCCAGGGCGTGCTTCTTTCCCGTCACCACGCACTGGCCACCACCTTCAGTTTGCAGGGAAATAAAGATGGTGGTCAGGGTGTGGTCAGTGCGACTTTGTAAAGGAGACTGCCTTTCGAAGAAAATGAAATTTCACCAGAGGCATGAAATTGATTCCCTTCTCTAAATACCAAATAACTGTATTGCTAAAACCGAAGCTGACTGTTTATTTGGTTGATTGTTAATGTTATTATATTCTCTCGAAATATATAAAATCTTCTATCGTGTTTATACATTATCTTATTCCTTCAAGGTAATGAATAAGAATTTTTGTGTTTGATTAGAAACATAAGCATAACTAATTTAGCATCGCATGCCTTTTGGAAAATGTCCCGTAGTGGACATGAATTTATTTATCTTTCTTCTTTATGTATTGTATTCCTCTTTTTTTTAATTATTATGCAGCTTTCAAATTGTTATCTAACAATTCTGATGTCCTATTCACGGTTTGCCCCTCCTGCAGGTATCAGCTGTAAGAGAGGATCACCATCATTGTTATCAAATCTTGGCTGCGCCACGAATGAGACGGCTTTTTTGCGAAGGGACCAGTGCAACTGCAGGATCACATGGGAATGCCATCAAGGCTGGGACCAGCTGCGCTGGATAAGCGACCACCTGGAAACACGCTGACTGTTCCGCCAGCATGAACAAATCGGAAGTGGCATTTTGACATTTCCTGAAAATGCCGGTTCCAGGAGGTGCCAGTTCGAATAATGCGAAGCTTAGGACTCGGCGAGAGACTCGGCGAGCGGTCAACACGGGGGCGCTTCGAGTTGTTTCAGAGGAGCCCGCTGCGATCGAGATGGGCGCATCCGTGCGGCTGTCGGTTCAATTGTGACCTCACGTGGTTCAATGAAGACTCCAGCTTCCACGACCCGCTGACCCCTGCCTCTGGCATTGGACATAGTGGATGGGTATTCTTCAGCAGCACTCGCTTTGGCCTCGCCGCCAGAGGTTCAAAGCTCAACAACGTCTCCAATGCGTCAACACAAGCCGAGAGACCGCCTACCCGCGTCAGCCTTGCGTTCGGGCCACTCAAAAATGGTACTGCGATGACGGGCAACATCAGAGTCGTCTGTTCCTCGCACAACATGGAAGCGCCCGCAAGCAAGTCCTACGAGCTCAAGGACGTTTTCACACCCACTGGAGTTGAAACGCGCTTTATACCACCTGTAGGACTCCCGGAACGACCCGAACAGTGCTAGGTGCACGAAATAAGCCATCGCAAGAGAAGCAATCACCGGACAGTTTATCGCAGTTATACATCCCACGGACAAGGATATGCGTGCAGGCGTCAGCCATTCCCAAAGAAATGTCCGTGACCACTTACGAGGACAAATGTGAATATTTGTTTTCTTCAATAGCCTGTGAATCTTCTTTTGCATATTTTCTTCAAATTTTGTTACGATGTTCATCTGCGATGTAAAAGTTTACTTAAAGTAGAACTAGTGACTCTTAATATATTTGGCATTAAAAACACACTTTCGATAACGAAAGCGAGCTCGTTTTCTATTTTTTTCGCAGCATATTCTTCTCTTCTGAAAATCGTAGATAATATGCTTTGTCTTCCTACGAAATTAAGAAGTGTGCTTGCAATTGCAGGTATCCTTTATACAGCTCGGCATCTGAATGCCTGCTTTTTACCGTTATTCTATTAGCTGCGCTAATATTCGCACTTATCGTGCACCAAGGAATTTTCAGTACACCCGCAGCCCCTAAACAAGACATCCTCTTTTTTAAGTGTTCAAAATACAGAGATCCAATCGGGCAAATTAGAAATACAGGATATGCCTTTCGTAATGCAAAGTGCCAACGTACTGGAACACGTGAGGACATCTTTTCGGGATTAATTTCTGGCGGTCGGGAGGTCAGTGCAATGACTCCAGAAGTTCGTTATAACAAGTGGCAACTAAGACGCAACGGAGAGTGTGTATGGCAGCAATCGCAATTTATTTCAGATTGGTATGTAGAGTTTAACGTCCCAAAACCATCATATGTTTATAAAAGACGCGCAATTTAATTCACCTACACCACAACGAACTCACAATATTTATTTTGTGGTAATGGTTCAGCCAGCAGGGAGCCACTTCAGATTAAGAGTTGCCACATGAAGGTGAGGAACCTGCGAGCGCTATGCTTATGCTGAGTGAGAGACTGACGCCGAAAATTTTGACATGGTAATGCGTGGCAATGCCAGCAGACTCATTTTATATGGCCTGGCAGTTCATGGGAGTGCAAGCAGATTCAGCTCACGCGCCAATAAGTTGCAGGGTTCCAGAAACTTTGACGTGCACTGACCTCGCACACTACATGGGCTACTACCTTCTCGAGTCCAACGAAATGCGGTGGCCGTTGTCGGGATAGAACCTGTAGCCATCAGGCCAGCAGACGAGCACAAAAAATTGGGGGACCCTTAAGCTTCGCCTTTAAGAGTTCAACGCGTAAGCGAAATCCAGCCCCTAGTGCGCCCTTCGACCACTAAGTGCATACTTATTAATATGTTTGTTACACACACACACACACACACACACACACACACACACACACACACACACACACACACACACACACACACACACACACACACACACACACACACACACACGCGCGCGCGCGCGCGATTGGTACATACAGGTTTTTGATATAAAGGAAGAGTCACATTACCTCTAAGATACACGCCGAGCGCTCGTAATCTCGGAGGCTATACAGAGTCTCACAATGCCTCACAGATAGCAGTACATTATCTACCGTTTGCTGTTTGCTTGCTCAACGCCTCTGGAAAGGCATGATATATTTTCCGCTAGATGGACGTAGTTGTCCATTTGTAGAGCTGTTTGAAAGTTCCTGGGTATTTTAAGCGGCGATGGATGCATTATCCCGGCCTTTTTCGACGTAGCAATTTGATGGCCTCCGAAATGCGCCTACAAATCACCGAATGGGCTCGTCTTCATCATGACACCTGTCGAGCAAAATACGTTAAGGAGACCGCCTTCCAGTACATAGCATTTATGTAGTGTTTTTCCCGATGCAGCTGCAAGTAACATCGTGGCTTCATGGTATGACACCTGCTTGCCGCATGAACGGCCCGGGTTCAATACTCGATTTCACCGAAAGTTTTATTCTTTATTTTATTTGCTTCTTTCTCAATTTTTCACTCACGCACGATTTTTCGCTTACAACCAATGGCGCCGACGCCGACGGCGGAAGTTCTGCGACCCGAGCTCTCTAACACTATCGCGTTAAAAACTAACGCTTCCCTACGGTGTACATACAGGTACGAAGATTGAGGAAACAGTGGAGTAGGCGGCCATCCCCTCCTCCTCACAATCTGTCCCCTTTCTCACATCGCGAAAGATGAGATCGGTGCCTTGGCTCGGCAAAGCTAAGTATAAAGCGCGCCGCAAAGGCGACGAGTGGGACGAGGTGGCAAGGCGAGGTAGGTAGCCTGCACAGCTGAAGCGACGATCAAAACAGAGTGATCGTTAAGGCATCCATTATTGCTAACTGAGGGTAACAATGTCAGTAAGCCCTTGGTTGCCTTGACTCTAAAACAGCTGTTTTTTTTTAGACAGAATATACCATGGTCTACACCACTGATATGTCTTTCGTTAGTTTTCCAGTGAAAGCTGCACGTGGCTAGGAGAAACGAAAAACCGTTCGGCAGCAGTGTCATAATTGCTCTCCATTTTCTGTATCATCAAATACTTCGTTCCCAAGCGCGCGCGCCATTGGCTGGGTTGTGAGTGACGTCGTTGCAGCTGTGGTGCTAGCCCGCACGCAACATTTTCGTCTGAAACCTCTCCAACGAGTTGGCTCGCGACGCTTGCAACAACCAAGCGTTGCGGCGTCAATGTGATGATTGCGGGAGCATTCGCCAGCGCGAACATCGTTTCGGTGGCAGTTTCTCTATAGCAGCGGCTGCGACGTCTGTGACCACCCGTGGTTCGAGAAGAACCACTAGGATTAACGCATTGCGAGACGTATTTATTTGCTCATTGCATTCCTCCATGACCACGGTCAAGCGAAACACAATCTGCAGAATGTTAAATAAACACTGCGGTGAGCCCGAGCGAAAGATGTGTCTAATCTAATTAGGAAGCACGAACATATAACCAGTAAGTACGAAACACTTCAATGCCACGTCCGGTTGAAGCCACTGCTAAACACCGGGACCGTACGTTTCAGCTTTTGCTGGTTAACCATTCGTACAGACTGCTCGGACGATGATTTTTTTTCTCTGGATTTGTTTATCATGCATTTAGTCATGTTCGACTTGTTTTCTGATTAACTTGTCCATAATGATCACGTAATTTTTAGCACGTTGACGTGATGTGATATACTGGCATATATACATATGCATTATATTCAGTGAATCCTCGTTTGAAAGACAGCACTTGGCTCGCTTCTCTTTCTTGTTCCTTGTCCTTTCTGTGCTATATCTTGAAGAGGAGGTGAAGATAGGTAGATCACGCAGCTTTGTCGAGGAGGTAGGTGAGGAAGAAAAGTTGGGCAGAGCTCGCAGCTGCGGCGTGGGGGGGGGGGGGGGGGCAGGGCGAAGAGGCAAACCTACACTTGATTGGTTGACCATGCAACGGTACGAAAAGTATAACGTCCATCTTCCAGTGTGAATATATAGTGGCACGCGAGCAGATCATTCAGTCGCGTTTGCGTAACTAAAAAGTCACAGTGTCGCCTTAAGGGCGAAGAAGAGAATGCGGTAACAAAAAAATTAGAATATCACAAGAAAACAGACCAGCAGCTAGATACTGGTAGAGCACTGGTGAAGTTGAAAGAAATATGCAAGAATAGAACGCAGTGGTATACACAGGACAAATAATAGCTAACAACTGTAAGGGTTGTTACGCCTTAGTGCTTGCGCAACTCGCAGCAAGTCTCGACAAAGTACAACCCGACACTCTTATATATCATTTTTTTTCTTTTACAGTGTGTTTGTGAAGCCTTCTGCGTCTCCCGACCTGGATGCGTGTAACGCAAGGTGTGCCCAGTGTTCTTTTTTTAAACACGAAAGTGTTTATGCTGGGGTCCACCAAGGCAACAGTGACGTATTTTCGTCACAAAAATGAGGTAAAAAATACGCACGATCAGACAGCAATAGAAAAAAAAAAGCTCGACGGAAGTCCACATGACAACCTTTCGATCTGCGACAGCAGAGGCTGCGCACGGCACCCACAGCGCCATGGCCACATCAACTGGGATATTTACAAATGCGCCTTCTATATCTAACACTGTACTTCCATAGTGCTCTTCATGAAGTGAAGTAATTCATGATGACCGTCACATCCATGATTAGTTCTTTAACGAGTCGTTTGGTCACGTTCGTCCCATTGAGCGCGTTTCCAGTAGGAGAAGTGAAATTTTGCCGATGCGTTAACACAAGGCCATAGGGTGGTGACATTACCCCCCGCCTCGGCCTCGCTCATAGCATCCATCCATACGAAAAAAATATCCCTGTGTCGTCTGACTGTAAAAATAGGTCAGCATGGTTCATTTTCGCTCGTTCTGGAAAAAATCACGGCGGGCTAACGTGGCCTGCAACGTTTCGTAGAGACGACGTGCGTAGCGCTTCTATCTAGTCCGGCAGTGACGTTCAGTGCACTAACATGCCGCGAGTAGGCGACCCTATAACCTGAGTTCAGCGTCCATTCAGTGACGACGCTCCTGCCCGTCACACCGTTTTCTCTGATTACGCTCTCATCGATAACCATTACAGCTACCACAAGCATCTTTCACGCAAGCGTTTCTTCAATCACTGACTATGGACGTTCGTCGTCGGAATGAAAATCTATCACTTAGCGTCACCGTGGGTGCATATGCGTTAAACTGTAGGTGTCAAACACCGAGAGACACAGTGTAAGCTCTCGTATACCAGTGTACAGTAAACATTCAACAATTGCTGTAAGAACAAGTTACAAGTTTCACTTTCGTGTTCTGCCGATTCCTAATACGGAGGGCTCAAACATGTTTTTTTTTATTTATTCAGGGCGGAGCTCCTTGGGTCGAGCCATGCCTGCCGTCACCACCCGATGACAATGACGCTGATGACAATAAAGAACAAGCTCGTTCCAGTCCACACGCCCTCTTTGTGCAATCATGGCGCAGCACATGCAAGGTACCCACCACGCAGGAAGGAAAGATAGAAGAGGACATGCCCAGCTGGCGTGCTAGGTGAAACGTGCGCAAGAAAGGACATCATGGTGGCCATATTTACTGGGCACAATGACGGCGTTGCTATGGTTACGTGTTGCGCAGTGTAGCTGTTCTAGCAGTGAGTGGCCGCGGCTGGCGGCGGCATGTGTGCCTCCGCAGATCTCGTGTAAAGCCGTGACAGACAATATCCGCGCTCTGCACCGTGTTATTGGTTACGCAGTGTTCTTCTGGCAGTTACTGTACTCTTAGCAACGTTTACAATACCTTTGTCTATCACGGGGCCCCAATAGTGCATAAAACGGGCGCATACATACACATGTGTCGGGCG